ATGTGATTGCACCAGTAAACATTTCAAACGGGAGAAAATGCAGCCACCAAAGCCCAAATCCAAAATTTACCTGAAAATGAGCGTTTCTCACAGCTTTTGTACAAAAATGTACAAGCAGTTTTGATGGCGCAGCACTCCCGCAAAGACTGTGGACACTTAAGGGGGTTCCTTTCGAAACATTTGTTTTGCCATGTTTTTCCCGTTTCTCAATGGTGGGAGACCCTTCAAACATCGCACTTATAGAATGCCTCCCTAAGAATTGGAATGTATTTCGCAGGAAAAGGAATGAATAAATTACTTCAGAAAGCGGCAAAGGGTAACGAAAGAATTTCACCCCCCAAAAAAAATCAAGCATGTAATGCAAGTCATTTTCAGAAATTGTGGTTTTGTCCGTTTCCCGGCATTTGGCACCGTTTCAGGGCAACACTTAGAATGTGTCCAACGTTTTCTTTTTGAGTTATTTCATTCACATGTCCTTCTTCAATCATTTTCCAATAGCAGATTTTGGCTTAAAGAATCAGATTTTGGCCTGAACAAATGATGCCAGATTTGTTTTTGAACAAAAATGCAACCACAGCCGGCATTGGACGGTTGTCGACAGGAATCCTACACAAAAAGGGGTGAAACTTCTCACTTTTCAAAGTTCGCTTAGGGAAATTCGTGGAAATTGACACATTTTGCTGTCAAGACTAGGGGTTCGAGATCCAGCTCGAAAGGTAATGCTTGAATGTGATTGCACCAGTAAACATCTCAGACGGAAAAAAATGCAGCCACCAAAGCCCAAATCCAAAATTTACCTGGAAATCACCGTTTCTCACAGCTTTTGTACAAAAATGTACAAGCAGTTTTGATGGCGCAGCACTCCCGCAAAGACTGTGGACACTTAAGGGATTTCCTTTCGAACCATGTGTTTTGCATTGTTTTGCCATGTTTTTCCCGTTTGCCAATGGTGGGGGGCCCTTCAAACATCTCACTTAGAATGCCTCCCTAAGAATTGGCATATATTTCGCCGGAAAAGGAATGAATAAATTACTTCAGAAAGCGGCAAAGGGTAATGAAAGACTAAAAGGGCCGGATAACCCCACATGTCAAGCCTTTATGTATCTAAGGTTAATGTAAACTTCGGGGAGGTGTGAGAAGTGGGGTGTGAGAAGTGGACTTGTGATGTCAGGTGTGAGAAGTGGAGCTGTGATGAGTTCTGATGTGATAAGTGAGGTGTGAGAAGGGGTGTGAGGAGTGGAGCTGTGATGAGTTGGGATGTGATAAGTTGTGATGAGTTGTGATAAGAAGTTCTGATGTGATAAGTGAGGTGTGAGAAGTGAGGTGTGAGAAGTGGAACTGTCATGAGTTGGGTTGTGACAAGTTGTGATGAGTTGTGATGAGAAGTGGACCTGTCAGAAGTGGAGCCGTGATGAGTTGGGATGTGATAAGTTGTGATGAGTTGTGATGAGAAGTGGACCTGTCAGAAGTGGAGCTGTGATGAGTTGTGATGAGTAGTGGAGCTGTGATGAGTGAGGTGTGAGAAGTGGAGCTGTGATGAGTTGGGATGTGATAAGTTGCGATGAGTTGTGATGAGAAGTGGACCTGTGAGAAGTGGCTGTGATGAGTTGTGATGAGCAGTGGAGCTGTGATGAGTGAGGTGTGAGAAGCGGAGCTGTGATGACTTGGTATGTGATAAGGTGTGATGAGTTGTGATGAGTTGTGATGAGAAGTTGTGATGTGATAAGTGGGTCTGTGATGAGTGGTGTTGATAAGTCTACGGCGGCGGAGGCGGGAGCAGGAGCGGCGGGATCCAAGTGAAAAACAAGAGCCCGGCACATGATACATGCAGCACACGAGCTCTTTTTCAAGAGAGGCCGCGCAAGTTCAAGCGTCATCATTCTGCGCAGTGTAGGGTACCTGGCACAGGTGATGAGGTAAAGAATTATGAAATGAAATGATGCGTCGATGTGACTGAAAGTAGCGGAGTGATGCAGTGTCGTTTGTGTGTTCCCTGTGTCGTTTGTGTGTTCCCTGTGTTTCCCGTTTGTCGTTTGTGGCGGCCACGCGCGCCGCAGCTGCGCCAGGCAGGAGCCCAGAGCCTCCAAAAGCCCTTAATTAAGGAGATACCTTAATTAAGGTCTCCAGGATTTTCTTAATTAAGGACTTTTGGAGGAACTTCTGGAGACCTTAATTAAGTGATCTGGCTTTGGTGCTGTTATAGTGGTATAATGGCTAAGTTTGTGTCAAAATTGTCATATGTTTTTTTCTTTGCTGTCCTTTGGATTTTCTTTCTTTTTGCAAAAAAGTAGGCAATACAAGAACTTCCTAGATTGCTTAATTAAGAAGATGGCTTAATTAAGCAATCCTATTTAAGCTATCTAGGAGGAACAATTTTGGATTGCTTAATTAAACAATCTAGGTTTTAGTGTTATTTTTCTAGTTTAAAATTCAATCTTAAAATATGACTTTTTGAATTTTGATTAGCTACCTCTTTTCAAGAATTTCTAGTTGGAAACTGTTCCAATTTTGCCTCCTTTTCACTTTGAAGAAAAATCAACTTGCAACCAAAGGTATTTGGAATGCAACCAAAGGTATTTGGAAAGAAAAAGGAAAATGGAATGTACAAAAACGATTGTGTGCAACATACCTTGTTCCAAACATTGTCAATGCTCCTGAGACTTTTATTTTTTTTGTCAAAATGTTTTTGTAGAAGCATTCATGTTGTAAGTTGTAAGCCATGCCCACCCCCAAAATATGATATAAAAAAACTCAAGTACCTTAAACAAACATTTGGGCCTAGGCCCCCTTCAGATGACATATTCCTTACTAGTGAATAGTGAATACTTATATACTAGTTTCTAGTTACTTGCTAGTATAGTTGTGATTGCTGGTTAGTAGGTGATATTCAGTAGGCAGTAGTTGGTAATTAATAATTACAATGGCCCAAGTGCAGAAACAAAACGTATTGTACCTGCACTCCACAGAGGAGTGTTGTTGATAACAAAGTAAATTGGAAACTGAAAGTATCTTGTCCAAGTATTCAAATTCGATCCTCACCATGAAAAACACATGGGTGCCAAAGCTGAAACTAAAACCTGTTCTTTTCAAATTGTGTCGGAATATTCAACTTTGAGCCCCACCAAAAATTATCAATTTGGGCCCCACCAAGAACTACAATTTTTAGTGGGACCCAAAGCTGAAGATAAATTAGTTTCCTTTCAAACCTTGACACAAAGTATTCCAGCTTGAACCCCTGCAAAAATCTTAATTTTCAGTGGGGCCCAAAGTTGAAGATAAACTATGTCCTGTTCAAATTTGGTGAAAGTATCCAAACTTCACCCCCATATTTGATTTTCCAGGGTGGGGCCCAAAGTTGAAAATAATATATGTTTCTTTCAAATTTTGTCGAAGTAGTCAAGTTTCAGCCCCACTCATTTTTAGTTGGGCCAAAAAATGAAGATCAAACATGTTCTCTTCAAATCTTGTCGACAAGATTCAACTTTCAGTTCCACTAAAAAAATGTAATATTTTGGTGACCCAAAGTTGAAGAATAAACATGTTTCCAAATTTTGCTGAAAAGGAATCAAAATTGAGCCCCACCGAGTTTTTTTAGGCTTAGGGCGAAAATTGAAACTACATTACTTTCCAGGAACATTTCTTCGTTTTGGTTCATTTTTGAGAGGTGCTCTTGTTTCCTTTCCTGAGGTGATGAAAGGGGTCAGAAGAGGGCACCTTGAAAAAATGTTCCAAATACATCAAGAAGGCATTGCGAGGCATGAGCTCTAAAGGTGGTAAATGTGTTGAGGTGTTGTTTGCATTGTAGCCTTTGTTTTTGTTTCTTTGTTTTGTTACAGGTTTTTGCAGGTGCCCCTTTTTCCTTTGCTTAGGTGATCAAAGGGGGTCAGAAAAGGGCACCTTGAGCAAATGCTCCAAATACATGAAGAAGGCATTGCAAGGCATGAGCTCTAAAGGTGGTAAATGTTGAAGTGATGTTTGCATTGTAGCCTTTTGTTTTTGTTTCTTTATTTTGTTGCAGGTTTTTGCAGGTGCCCGTTTTTCTTGCTTTGGTGATCAAAGGGGGTCAGAAAAGGGCACCTTGAAAAAATGTTCCAAATACATCAAGAAGGCATTGTGAGGCATGAGCTCTAAAGGTGGTAAATGTGTTGAGGTGTTGTTTGCATTGTAGCCTTTGTTTTTGTTTCTTTGTTTTGTTGCAGGTTTTTGCAGGCGCCCCTTTTTCCTTTGCTTAGGTGATCAAAGGGGGTCAGAAAAGGGCACCTTGAAAAAAATATCCACATACATGAAGAAGCATTGCAAGGCATTGCACTAAGAGGATTGCCATAGCTGCAAATTGTACTTGAACAAAGGGAAACTACATTAGCTTGAAATTACCACCCAGCAAGATTGGGCCTTGGAACATCTCGAGCCAAGGTCATAAACCATGAGATTATTATGTGGTAGAATTACTAGGTGTTAAAAAATGTTAAAATTTTAACATTTTTAACATTTTTTTAAACAATGGTTTATATATTCGTCTGTCCACCTCCTGAATTGTTCCAGTGATGTTTGTGCCCGTATCTTACGGGGCTCAAGGCTTCGCACGGGTGTCGTGTTTAGCTCATGGGTGATTTGTGGGGTGGATATCTACAGCTGGCCAATACTTTCCTGCATTTCTTGCATTTGAGCAGGGATCGAACCCCGGTTTGTAACTGCCATTGTGACGAGTCTGGACAGTCATCTTTTCGAGCCTGCTCTGGATTAGTGCGGGAAGTTTTGACAACTTGTTTGGATCAAGCCACCACCCAAACCACCACCAGCACCGCGTCCATTCGGGGATCCTATTGGAATTTTGGCTGGCTGTGGATTTTGATTCTGATTTTCATTCTGGGTCTGTTGACTGGGATTTGTGTGATCAAGTGTCTGGGGCGATCGGTTCCAGAGAAGAATCCTAGTCAGTTGGTGGTTGTGCCAGCCGACCAGAACGCTGTCAGAGGGCGTCGTGGAGTTGCGGCATAGCCATGGCAGCACTTGCTGCCGCTCGCAGCCTGGACATATCAGAGTTGCAGATGTTAGTCGAGTTCCCAGGTGACCTGAACAATTTGGATTACCACCATCGGATCCTATGGTATCGAGTTGATAGATCCACTTGGATTATCTCTACCCCTGATTATGATGTCTATGAGGAGGATTATGATGGCATGACAGTGATTCCTCTCAACCGAAATTCTCCATATCCTGCCCAGTATGCCGGGATGATGTATGTGCCCAATGCAGCTAACTTGATGATGCAGTACCAAGACATGAAGCGTCAGGCCGATAGTCTTGCTGTTGTTCGAGGGTGTGCTGATCGGCCGGGAGTTCCGGCGCCTGCGGGAGATGGGGGAGGAGGGCAGTGGAGAGTCGCTGACGTTGATTCCAAACATTTTGGCAACATCATTCCTCATGGTGAGCTCAGTGACCCCCAGACCAATGTGATGTTGGAGGCTGGGGAAGCCAGAAAGCGACTTCACTTGAAGGGTGGAGAGATTTTGACCTTAGAGCTTGTTGAGGACTATGACAAGTGGAAGGAGGCAAAACGTCCAGGGCTTCCAGGAGGAGACGCAGGGGACTTGAGGATCTTAGGGTGTAGCCGCTTGTCTTCCGGCAAACGTCAATTGAGTCTGATGAAGGCCTTGGAGACGATGCATCCTGAGGCTTTCAGCGACTGGCCACACCGAGGACCAAAGGCGACAAAGGAGTTCCTTGAGTCAGTGCTGGAGAATGGAGGCGATTTGTCAACCTACCATGCCTCGTTCATGAGGAAATCGGGGCTTTCAGACCACAGCGCCGCAGCCCATGAGTTGAAGAACTTGCTTCAGGTTCTGAGGCTTGGCATCTCTTACGATCAGCTCGATGTCAGCAATCTGGCAGCTATGGAGCAGGTCGTGAGGCGCATTGTGGAGATCCAGATTGCCGTCCGTCGGAATCCAAAGCATCCCACCTTTGACTCCTTCGACTACAACACTCGTGGAACCGTCGACGAGGTTGGAGGAGCAAGAGCCGCTGGATACTTTGAATGGATGGCAGAGCAACAGAAAACCGAGGCCAAGACTCTGAAATCGACTCGTGAATGGCGTCAAGAGCAAGATGCCGAGAGGAGGAGGTCGAAGCCTGAGAAGGATAGCAGTGGAGATGATGGTGAAGGTGGCAAGGGAAAGAAGAAGAAAAAGAAGAAGAAGGGTGGCGCCCCCTCAGGCGCCGAAGCGACATGATGAGTGAGGCTTCCCGCCACCAGACGGGCGGGCATGACATTTCGTCTGGTTTACTGCATGAGAATTCAAAAGCTGGTGGGAGCAAGCACAGCGAGTTATTCCCGCTGCCTTTTCCGGATTGGAGGAGGCGTCGGGTTCGTGCTTCCCCAGCGCTCACTGGTGATTCTGAAGAGTCGTACAGGTTTGGGGTGAGAATGGCTGGTCGCATTGGTGAGTCAGTCAGTGCCTTGAACTCTCTTGGAGGAGCTTCAGCGAGATCTACCAGAAGAGCTTCTTTTGTTTTCGAAGGGCATCAGGCCGGGAGCGGAGTAACAGCCGCTCAGGAGTCAGCTCTCCGTCGGATTGGGCGCCTTGTTAAGGATGCAGGGCCCTGTCCCAGTGGCCTGACACCGAAGCTTGCGTTTGAAGAGGTCATCAAGTCGAAGGACATGTATAGCCTCAACAGATGCTCAGTTGCAACCTATGACCTTGAGAAACTCAAGATCACGAAGAGCGACACGGTGCCGAAACCTGCTGCAGATCTCCTCCCGCCGCTTGAGGCGGACTTTTTGACACATCCTGAACTTCACATCATCAGGTCAGAAGAAGAGATCAACGAGTGGTGCACAGCCAACAAGGATTTCCAGCCGTACTGGGATGAGACATTGCGGAATGACCGCGAGGCGCGCCTAGATCTGTATCGAAGACTGCATGAGAAGGGCCTGCTGGGTTTTCGCAAGAGGATCAAGTGCAAGGTTGGAATCTTTTTCGTCAAAAAGGCGAGTGGCAAAGGCATCCGTTTGATCATTGATTCTCGTATGCCAAATGGGTGTCACCGTCGTCCTCCGAAGACCAAACTGGGCGGCGCCTCCGCCATCTGTGAGCTGGACTGCTTCATGGAGAGTGATGAGCTTGGGGCGGTGAATGAGGGCTTCGGTGGGCCGGTTGAGCTTCCTCAAAAACTTTTTGGCAGCACTGGTGATGTTTCAGATGCTTTCTATCAGTTTAGCGTTGAACCTATGTGCGAATGGTTTGGGCTAGATGATCCGGTTGCGGCAGAAGAGTTTGGCTTGACTAAGGTGTGGGATTCTGAGGTAGGCGACTATGTTGACCTTTCAGCTGGCGACAGAGTGTTTCCAGTTTTTCTTGGGATGCCACAGGGTTGGGCCTGGGCTTTGCACTTCTGCAATCTGGCGGTGGAGTATAACATGTCAAAGGCAATTCCCTCTTCGCAATTTGTCAAAGAAGGTTTACCTCCACCTGACCCCAGACGAGGACCTATAGGAAGTGTCTATGTTGACAATATCGGTGTTTTTGGATTTGTTGAAAAGATGGTTGACCAGTCTTTTGATGAGGCAGTTTGTTGTTTAGAAAGAGCTGGTTTTGTGTTACATGAGCTTGAGCGTGGTGCTATTGAAGCTCAGAATGTTGGGATTGTCATCAGACGAGATACCATGACTGTCCGGCATACTCGAAAGCGAGCGTGGAGGCTGTACCTGGCTTTGAAGCATGTGCTGAAGCAGAATCGCATTACCACTGAGGCGATGAGGGTCTTGGTCGGCCACATTGTGCACTATTTCTCGATCATGCGTCCTGGGTTGAGTGTCCTTTACCACACATACAAGTTTATTTTTGACTGGTTGGATGGTAGAAGTCACAACATTCCGGGTAGTGTGAAGCGAGAGTTGCGCGTGGTGGCGGGGTTGGTTTTCTTGGTGGAGATCGACCTTAAGGCTTCTTATTGTGATCGGATCTATTGTGGTGACTCCAGCACGTATGGGTATTGTTTTCAGTGGTCCCCTTCAACAGCATCGGAACAGCGCGAGCTTTTCAAGTTTCATGAGCGTTGGCGTTTCCTAGAGGTTGAGCAGCATACTGGGTTGGGTTTGGGTTCACATCACTCATCTGCAGATCTTAGTGTACCTGACATTGCCTATGTACGGTGGTTGACCCAACGAATTGGTATAGCTGACCCTAACTCTGATAAACTTGAATCGGGTAGTCGGGGCCACACCGGAAGTTCCCAGGGAAGGCAGTTCACAACTGTTGACCTTGTTGGGCTTGTGCCTCGGTTGCCTGATGAGATTGTGACACAAGATAGGTGGCAGACCATTTTTCAAGGCAGGTGGCAGCATGGCGAAGCAATTCACATGAAGGAGGGCCGTGTGGCTCTGATGAGCCTTCGTCGTGAGGCGAAGCGATCAGACTCACATGGCAAGCGTTTGTTGACTTTGTGTGACAATTTATCAGCAACATGTGCGTTTGACAAAGGGAGAGCGAAGGATCTGTCGCTCCTGGCCTTGTGCAGAAGAGCTGGAGCAATTCAGATTGCGACTGGGATTAGGTGGCATCTGCGATATGTTGAGAGCAGTCGTAATCCATCTGACCATGATTCCAGAGTCTTTCCAAGTAAGTCGAAAGCGACTGCTGCAGGTACTGGTCATGCATCAGCGTCACAGCAACTTAGCAAGCAGCTTCGGGGCGCACCTGGGGCACCTTTGAAGATGAGGACCCGATCGGAGGGGGAGGCGACTCCCTTACCGGTGGTTACTACCGCCGGCTCTAGCTCCCGATATACCCATCGGACCCAGACGGAGTCTGAAAAGGGCAGTGGGAAATCTCCTCAGGTGGCCAAGTGTGTTTTGGAGTTGTTTTCTGGGACAGGGAGATTGACATCAGCATTTCATATGAAAGGGTTGAGAGTTGGACCCCCTTTTGATATTTGTGGCGGTGAATGCTATGACCTTTGCAATCCAAAAGTTCAAGCCATGATCAAGGGTTGGTTGCGGTCGGGACGTATTTGGTATTTGCATCTTGGTACACCATGTACACATTTCAGCATTGCGAATAACAACAGAAAGAAAAACGCGAACAACAGACGATCATACAAATGTGCCCATTTCACTGCTGATCTGATTCGACTTTGTGTTGATTTAGGTGTATATTTTTCACTTGAAAACCCAAAGACCTCTAGGCTGTTCAAGTTGCCTTGCATCCAAAGAGCCCTGAAATATGCCAATGCGTTCTTCGTCGAGTTCGATTGTTGTCGATTTGGTTGCAGTTATCGTAAACCTACATACATTGCCAACAATATGGATGCGTTGGGTGGTTTGGGTAAGCGATGCAATTGTGGTATTAGGCGGCATGAGCATTTACGGGGTCGAGTACGTATCAAGTTACAAAATGGAAATTACAAGTGGTTTTGGAAGACGACACTGGCGGGTGAGTATTCAGCAGAACTATGTCATGAGTGGGCAGAAATCGTCCGCAGTCAGGCTCCAAGCGCAGCGCTCAGAGGTGTGAGAGAGCCTCAGGTGTTGCCTGGCTGGCTTGATGACATTTGTCAAGTCACTGGCACAGTCCCAAAAGTCACGCAGTTCCAGCCATGCCCATATCGCCAGACCTGTCCCTGGACAGGGGCAGTCGAAACGTGGGGTACGGAAGACAGCTGCCGACAAAAGTCGGGAAAAAGCACTGCAGCGACAGCGCAAAGTTGTCGACACAGAGCCGGGCTTTCTCAGGAGGGCCCGATTGCGGAAGCAGTCCACCCGAGACCAGTATGCTGACAGTTGGAAGACGTTCATGACTTTTTGTGTTGCTCACCATTTGATGCGGGCAGTTGCCAGCAGGTTTGTTTCTATGCATCAGCTGGATAGCGCGTTAGAGAGTTTTGGTGAGCATCTATTTTTGTCTGGATTGTCGAAAACTGTTCTGACATGTGCACTTCAGAACGTCAATATCGAATACCCATGTTGGCCTACCTCGGCAAGGGTGAACTTCCCTCTGACTAAGGCGGCCAAGAAGGGTTGGGGCAATTTAGAACCAGGTGCCTCAAAGGATCCTTGCCCCATGGAGATTGCTTTTTGGATTGCATATGATCTACTCAACCATGGTCTTCCTCTATATGCAGTAGCTGTTGTTCTTTGTTTCGATACGTATGTGCGACCTGGGAAAGTCTGTGAGCTAACGCCAAACAATATTGTACCTCCGGCTCGAGGGTTGCATGCCAAGTATGGACATTGGACACTACTACTTCATCCACAAGAGCTTCATTCTCCCTCCAAGGTTGGGCAATACAATGATTCGATTGTCATAGGCTCTTCAGGCCGTGAATGGATTAGCAATCTGGTCGAAAAATTGTATGCAATTCATACTGGAGACATGGATATGAAGCTTTTTCCTTTTACCCTGAATCAATTTGAGAAGGTTTTCAAAGAGAGCACGGAGAGACTGCAGTTGAAGAAACTGAAGCTCACTCCACACTGCCTTCGTCACGGTGGCGCATCGCATGACTATCTATTTGGGGTGCGTGCTCTTGTTGATGTTCAGGCAAGGGGCTGTTGGGCAAGCTTTGAGAGTGTCCGACGATACTCCAAGCATGGACGAGTCAATCGCCAACTCAGTCTCCTTAGCCCTGAACAACTTCATGCAGCCAAACAAGCTGCCCTTGAGCTCCCTCGTCAATTGCTGACTTGTTACCGTTGAGTGCGGCATGTTTCTGGCAAGTTTCCACATTTTGGGAAGATGATGGAGTGGTGCGGCATAGGTTTCACCTTTTCCTTTTTGATTTATAGGCAGTGCACTGCTTTGACCTCTCTGCTCAGCGGATGATCAGTGAGGATAGGTTGCAAGCTTTCTCGACGAGACGTCGATTCAGCAGATCTGACTAGGCCCTTGGCTTGTCAAAATCTCAGCTGCGGCACCGTTGTGGCAGCTCATCTTCAGTGATGGGATCAGTGAAAGTGTCTGGGCACATGTTTGAGGACGAGGGACAATTCGTCTGTTCACCTCCTGAATTGTTCCAGTGATGTTTGTGCCCGTATCTTACGGGGCTCAAGGCTTCGCACGGCCCACTACCCACCCTTAAACCATGGAGTGGTGCGGCATAGGTTTCACCTTTTCCTTTTTGATTTATAGGCAGTGCACTGCTTTGACCTCTCTGCTCAGCGGATGATCAGTGAGGATAGGTTGCAAGCTTTCTCGACGAGACGTCGATTCAGCAGATCTGACTAGGCCCTTGGCTTGTCAAAATCTCAGCTGCGGCACCGTTGTGGCAGCTCATCTTCAGTGATGGGATCAGTGAAAGTGTCTGGGCACATGTTTGAGGATGAGGGACAATATATATATATATATCTAATTTAAAACCATTGTTAAACAACATGTTAAAAAATGTTAAAATTTTAACATTTTTTAACACCTAGTAATTCTACCACATAATAATCTCATGGTTTATGACCTTGGCTCGAGATGTTCCAAGGCCCAATCTTGCTGGGTGGTAATTTCAAGCTAATGTAGTTTCCCTTTGTTCAAGTACAATTTGCAGCTATGTGATCACCTAAGCAAAGGGAAAACGGGGCACCTGCAAAAACCTTCAGCTACGTGCCCAACTGAAAATTACAATTCTTAGTGATGCTCGAATTTGAATATTTCGACAGGATGTGAAAAGCGCATATATATTCTCCTCAACTTTGGCCCCACCCTGAAAAAAACTTGGTGGGGTTCAAGTTTGAATACTGTCACAGTTTACCTTCAACTTTGGGCCTCACTGAAAACTATGATTTTTTCTGGGGTTCAAACTTGAATACTTTGTGACAAGATTTGAAAGGAACATATTTTATCTTCAGCTTTGGGCCCCACAAAAAAATATTAATTTCTAGTGGGGTTCAACCTAGAATATGTTTGACAAAATTTTAAAGGAACATATTTTATATTCAACCTTGGGCGCCACTAAAAATTATAATTGTTAGTGGGGCTCAAACTTGAATATATACTTTTCAACAAGTTTTGAAGAGAACATGTTTTATCTTCAATTCTGGGCCCAACTAAAAAATACAGTTGTTAGTGGCGCTCAAAGTTTCGAATACTTCGACAAATTTTATAAAGATCATATTATCTTCAACTTTGAACCCAACCCTGAAAAAAATGATTGGGCTCAAATTTGAATACTTTCACCTGGTTTGAAAAGAACATATGTTATCTTTATCTTTGGGCCCCACTAAACATTATAATTTTAAACGGGGCTCAAACTTGAATACTTTGAAACAAGATTTGAAAAGAACATATTCTATCTTCAACCTTGGGCCGCAGTGAAAAATATATTTGTTAGTGTTAGTGGGGCTCAACCTTGGCTATATGTTTTGGCAAGGTTTGAAAAACAGATTCAATTTTCAACCTTGGGCAGCAGTAAAAATTGTAATTGTTAGTGGGGTTCAGCCTTGACTATTTTTTTTAACAAGGTTTGAAAAGAACAGATTTTAGTTTTTAGTTTCAGCTTTGGGCCCTGCTCTTAAAAGACTTGGTGGGGCTCAAATTTTAATACATACTTGGACAAAATAATTGCGTTTTCCAATGTATTGTTTTTTTTAATAACAGCACTCCTCAGAGGAGTGCAGGTAGCATAGGATTGCTTCCGCACTTTGGCCATTATAATTACTAACTGCTAGTTGCTACATACTGAGTATTACCTCACCACTATACAGGCTAGCAACTAGAAACCATAAAACGATCACTATTCGCCACTAACTACTGACAATAAACTACTGACTCTACCCACTACTCACTACCCACTCTACCCACTACTCACTACCCACTAGTCACTACCCACTACCCTACTAGCTTACCATTATTTACTACTGTCTACTCACTACTCGTTGCTCACTTACCCACTTTTGACTTCTAACTGGCCACTAACTGCTATCTACTGGCTACTCACTACTCACTTCTACTATCTACTCATGAGCACTCCTCGAAGGAGTGATGTCTATAATGGTTGCTTGTGACCAGACATACTCATCAGAGAAGTGGTCTCTACAATGGTTCCTTTTGCCCCCAAAAAAATGGTACCCACCTTATATTAAGGGTCGCCAGGCCATCTCGACCAAACAACATTTTGCCCCCCACTACTCTTCAAATAAGTGCAGTCTTCTAGGTTTACTTTACTACATTCCTCATTGTTTCCCCTTTGACATTATTAATTATACAAACCCTGCCTAGGCAAACCTTTTTTATAAAAAAGTATAATGCCACAACATCACATTCTTAATTTGCAGAACTGCTGCTGGCTGCATGAACGAAAAGAAACAAGCCAGAAGCACCTGGTTGCCACCCATGGCATATAATTGGTTCGAGCCACTGCCTTCAAAATTTGTAAAATTAAGCAAAATCTAGATTGCTTAATTAAGCACTCTATAGATTGCTTAGTTAAGCAACCTAGAGAAACTTCAGATTGCTGAATGTGCTAAATGAAGATTGCTTAGTTAAGCAAGCCTGCAGAACTACAAAACAAAACAAGCCAGAAGCACCTGTGTTGCATGGCACAGAAAACTTGGTTTGAGCCAATGATCTCCTCAAAGGAGATCAAGATACAGCAAACATGATTTCATCAATGTCTCATCAAAAAAACAATGAAAAAGCAAAAGATCCAGAGACCTTAATTAACTGATCTGGCCAAAATTCCAGATCACTTAATTAAGGTCTCCAAAACCATGATTTTTGGCAAACCTCCAGATCACTTAATTAAGGTAGCTACCTTAATTAAGGACTTTTGGAGGCTCTGGGAGGCTCTGTGTACTGCGCCTGCCACGCAAAAGGCAGTCGCGGGCCAGCGGCGGCCACGCGCGCCGCAACTGCTCCAGGAGGCTCTGTGTACTGCGCCTGCCGCGCAAAAGGCAGTGCCGCAGCTCCTCCGGGAAGCTCTGTGTACTGCGCCTGCCACGCAAAAGGCAGCCGCGGGCCAGCGGCGGCCACGCGCGCCGCAGCTCCGCCAGGAGGCTCTGTGCCGCCTGCCACGCAAAAGGCAGCCGCGGGCCAGCGGCGGCCACGCGCGCCGCAGCTCCGCCAGGAGGCTCTGTGTACTGCGCCTGCCACACAAAAGGCAGTCGCGGGCCAGCGGCGGCGACGCGCGCCGCAACTCCTCCAGGACGCTCTGTGTACTGCGCCTGCCACAAAAGGCAGCGCCGCAGCTCCTCCGGGAAGCTCTGCGCACTGCGCCTGCCATGCAAAAGGCAGCCGCGGGCCAGCGGCGGCCATGCGCGCCGCAGCTCCTCCAGGAAGCTCTGTGTACTGCGCCTGCCACGCAAAAGGCAGCCGCGGGCCAGCGGCGGCCACGCGCGCCGCAGCTCTGCCAGGAGGCTTTGTGTACTGCGCCTGCCACGCAAAAGGCAGTCGCGGGCCAGCGGCGGCCACGCGCGCCGCAGCTCCACCAGGAGGCTCTGTGCACTGCGCCTGCCACGCAAAAGGCAGCCGCAGGCCAGCGGCGGCCATGCGCGCCGCAGCTCCTCCAGGAGGCTCTGTTTACTCCCCCTGCCACTGCGTGCGTGCGTGCGTGCGTGCGTGAGTGAGTGAGTGAGTGAGGGAGGAGGAGGAGGAAGCGGTGCCCCGGCGGGATCCAAGCGAAAAACAAGAACCCCACACTGTGATGTGGGGAATTTCCCAGAAAAGCAAGCAAGAAAGCAAGTCATTTTCAGAAATTGTGGTTTGTCCGTTTCCCGGCATTTGGCACCATTTCAGGGCATCACTTAGAATGTGTCCAACGTTTTCTTTTTTCGCTGTTTCATTCAAATTTCCTTGTTCAATCACTTTCCAATAGCATATTTTGGCTTAAAGAATCAGATTTTGGCCTGGACAAATGATTCCAAGCTTGTTTTTGAAAGAAATTGCCACCAAAGCGGAATCCAGCATCCAGCTCAAAAGCTTCATTTTGAGAAGGTTTTTGACAGGAATCCTACACAAAAAGGGCTGGCCAGCAAACCCTGATGCAGAATCAATCTGAAACTTCTCGCTTTTCTAAGTTCGCTTAAGGAAATTCGTGGAAATTGGCACATTTTGCTGTCAAGACCAGGGGTCTGAGATCCAGTTCGAAAGGTTAATGCTTGAATGTGATTGCACCAGTAAACATTTCAAACGGAAGAAAATGCAGCCACCAAAGCCCAAATCCAAAATTTACCTGGAAATCAGCGTTTCTCACAGCTTTTGTACAAAAATGTACAAGCAGTTTTGATGGCGCAGCACTCCCGCAAAGACTGTGGACACTTAAGGGGTTTCCTTTTGAAACATTTGTTTTGCCATGTTTTTCCCGTTTCTCATGGGTGGGAGACCCTTCAAACATCGCACTTAGAATGCCTCCCTAAGAATTGGAATGTATTTCGCAGGAAAAGGAATGAAGAAATTACTTCAGAAAGCGGCAAAGGGTAGTGAAAGAATTTCGCAAAAAAAATATTCAAGTATGTAATGCAAGTCATTTTCAGAAATTGTGGTTTGTCCGTTTCCCGGCATTTGGCACCATTTCAGGGCATCACTTAGAATGTGTCCAACGTTTTCTTTTTTCGCTGTTTCATTCAAATATCCTTGTTCAATCACTTTCCAATAGCATATTTTGGCTTAAAGAATCAGATTTTGGCCTGGACAAATGATTCCAAGCTTGTTTTTGAAAGAAATTGCCACCAAAGCCGGAATCCAGCATCCAGCTCAAAA